GATGCAAGTGGAAATCATCAGGAGCAAGCAGGTGTTCTTCAAACTGCAAATGTAAATTGTCTATGCCATTCTACAATGTCGGATTCACCTCCCTCATCCTTTGCCCTATCTCAAAGAATTTCTCGAAATAGTTCAAAAATTGAGCTTTCAATTCATATAGTGGCATCTGGCTGTTTTTTAAAGGTTACTTTCTACGTTTATACTACAGTATAAGTAGTTTTTGGAGCACATACTTTTTCACTTTTACTTGGGTAAAGATACCAAGTTCATACTTCAACTTTTACCAGAGTGTTTTTAAACTGCAGTATCTATACTTCTACTTAAGTAACAAATGTGTGTACTTTTGACACCACTGACTAGGAGACAAATATCCCCCAAAGCTCACACTTTGTTGTGCCGAGCTGATAAATAAACCTACCAGCAGAGGGCAGTGACAGACAAGTTTCTGACTACGTTGTACTGAAACATCCACAGAGGATGAAGAGGGAGAGCTCCTGGTCTTTGTACTCATGAGAGGGATCCACAAAGATCTCTGAAAGTAATAAAAGAACAACGTCACAGAGCAAAATTTGATGTTTATAAAACAACTTGGGTTTTCTAATGTGTTTTACTTCTAAAAGAACCATACTAAGTGCTTTGTCATCCATCAGATCTCGGTTGATCGCTCGTTCAACGATCTTGGCCACCTTTTCCACTTTAGAGATATCATCCCTCTGGAATAGAAATACATCAAAGTTTTGGATGAACCTTCACTGATAGTATATTTGATTTCACGAGTTTTGTTGTCTGTAAAACGGATTTAAAAACCTTCAATGAAAGGTTCAACCTTTCAGTGAAGTAAAGACTGAATTTAAATGCCTATAAGATTGGATTTAAAATCTGATAGGTAGAGCAGGTTACCCGGGTCTCCATCAGTGTCACTTTCTTCTTGCTGTCACTAGTATCTTTTTTCAATAGTGTGGTTTTCTGCTTCTCTTTATTTTTTTCTTGCTTCTGCAGTTCCTCCAAATACGTGTCATAAATTATCCACTGCAAACAATCAGTTGTTAAGGTCAACTCATCAGACAATCAGTGTTCTACACTAAGAGGAAAAAGTAAGGAACGTACTTGATTTGCAGTGGCAGAAAAGCGTGAAGGAGGTTCAGTCTGAGAGCTTCTTTCCTGAAAGTCAGGGAAAGACAACAAAAGCATTTTTTTTTATGCTATTTCTTATTATAGTACTGGTTTTGTAACTATCACATAAACTATCACTACTTCATACCATTGAAACATTTCTGTGAGTCTGTGATGCCCTTTCAATGAAGAACAAGAGCAGCACTGTCTGGTCTCTCCTCGTCTACAACTTCTTTGCCTTCTCCTCCTTCCTCAAAAGCCTGAGGAAAATAAGCCAAAGGAGGCTCAAACACAATCACCACAGCTGAAGTATATATATATATATATATATATAT